TAAAACTGTAAATTTCCTAGAAAACAAACAGGGCAATATTGCCAGGCCTAATTTTCAACACTGAAATTATCTAACAGAATAACAAAAGCACAGACAGTAAAAGGTAATACATCAGATCTCACAAAAATTAAAAACTTTTATCATCCAAAGACTGTTCCAAAAAAGGTGAAAAGACCAACTAGGAGACTATCTTCCCAAACCATATATTCAACAAGAATCTAATAACCAAGGCATATGTAAAACTTTGAAAATAAGTTAGTCACAAAAGGACAAATATTATATGACCTCGCTTGTATAAAAAGACAAGAAAAGACAAATGTATAGTATTTACCAGGGATGAGAAGAAGAAGAAAATGAGGAGTTAAGGGTAATGGAAAAATCTTATCAAGGGTAGGGCTGAACAGCCCCTTATGTAACTGCTGTCAATAAATTGTACACTTGTAAAACGATGAACAGGCAAAAGTTGTGTGATAGATATATTTGTAACAACAACAAAAGTAGCTGCTGAGGCTGCTTATATATAACCAAACACTTTATGGGATTTGGTTTCTTGTTTGGAGGTTTAGAGTCACAATTTCATGGGCCATCCCAATACAGATCTAAATGTGTTTAGTGCTTCTATTCTACCTCCTAGTACAGTGCTTAGTGTCTAGGGTCTTAAAAACCCACAAGCAGCCATCGAAGGCACAACAATAGATCTCTAGTCACCTGGAGCAAAGAGGAAGGAAAGTCAGCATAGGAAGAGTAAACTGCTTCTTTTTCCACGAGAACAGAAGAACTGGATGGTACCCGGCTGGCTGCCATTACTGAACATTTTTATCAAAGATTGATTCCATAGAATAGGGGTGGGGAACATTGAGCCTGCAGGCTCTATTACTGTTGTTAAGTGCCATGAAGTTGGTTCTGACTCGTAGCGACCCTGATAGGGTTTCCAAGGAGTGGCTGGTGAAATCATTTGGTCTGGCCTTTCCAAGGCAACCGTAGTTCCAGCCATCACATTTTTATTGTTAAGTGCTGTAGAGTCGGTTCCAACCCATAGTGGCCCTGTATGGGGTTTCCAAGGAGCAGGTGGTGGGTTTGAACCACTGACCCTGCAGTTCAAACTGACCTTGTGGTCTAACACATTATCCTACAGTGACACAACAGTGACTTAATTGTTTGACCAAATACAGCAGACGAATTTTTAAGATGATAATTTTGTATGGCCTGTGAATGATGTTACAAATTTTGGCAGAAAAAGGTTCCCCACCCCTGCCATAGAAGAATCCTGACCAGAAGGGGAGAAATGCACATGGATTCTGGAAGGTGAATGAACTCAAACTATTGCCCTAAGATCTTCTCTAAACCTTAAACCAAAAATAGCCCCCTGAAGTCTTCTTAAAAACTGAACAAGTTTAGCTTCTGCATTCCACTTCTTTAAGAATCATCATATATATGGGGTGTACCCTTTGGGTGTTTGATGATGCATGCAGGGGATTGTGATCAATGCAATTAAACAAAGTGTGACAGGATGAATGTAAAGATAATGTTCACCCATGTAAACTAACATATAAGTCACAATAAAAACTTTTTTAAAAAATCACCATATAAGATCAAAGTGGCAACAGCAACTCAAAAGATTAGATAGCCTTAGGGGCAGTAAAAGGAGCTCTGGTAGCGTAGTGGTTACGAATCGGGCTGCGAACCTTAAGGTCAGTGGTTTGAAACTACCAGCCGCTCCGCGGGAGAAAGATGAGGCTTTTTACTCCCGTAAAGATTTACACCCTTGGAAACCCTGTACAGGGTCGCTATGGGTCGGAACCGACTCGATGGCACTTAACAACAACAACAAAGATTTACAGACTCGGAAACCCTGTACAGGGTCACTATGAGTCGGAACCAACTCCACAGCACACAGCCACCACCAGGGACCATAAGTTTATTTTAATGAGAAAGAAACAACTCAGAAAAAAAGAGGGTTTCATAATTCTAAGAATGTAATCAATATCACTAAATTGCACGTATTAAAATTATTGAATCTGTGGATGTTTTGCTTTGTGTATTCTCAACAACAACAAAATAAAATTTAAAGAAAAAAGAGTCAAGACTGTCATTTGGATTACTGCATCCTTTTAAAAATGTATATAAGCCCAAATGGTCAACTGCTATTCTATAGCATAGATGAGATGTTGGGGGGGAGGGGGAGAAGGCTGCCACAGGGAGTTTAAGTTAAAGGCAGTGAAGCAACCAGAATAGAAACAATGAGAAGGTTGACACAATGTGAAGAATCTAGAAAAGGTCACTGGAAGTATGGAATGGGAGGAGGTTTTGCTATATATATTTTTACCAAAAATAATTTTTAAAAAAATCCTTGTCCCAGATGAGAACTTTTCTGTCTCTCTTCAGGTAGATGGCACCTCTGTATTATTACATAGTCTGATGTCAGTGTATCAAACTGGTCAAGAATGTTATAAATTTATATGCTGGGAAATCTCTACAGATACTATGAAGACTCATAGTGACTGTTTCTGAGGAGTGGCTGGTGAATTTGAACTGCCAACCTTGCGGTTCAAACCGACCTTTTGGTCTAGTACATTATCCCACAGCACCAGAAAGGCAAATTCTCAGCCAGAGGAATCAAACCAGAAAGAACTGATGCTTCAGGAACATTTACTAAGTATGACAAGTGTATTTTCATAATTTTTTAGGGATATAGAAGGAGATTTCAAAAAATTTTGTAGAAAAATTCTACATTATCTTTTCATTCCACTTTTCCAAGAATTTTTTCACCCCTCGGGTGAAGCTCAGAGATATTCCATGCCTTCATTCAAGGCTGGTTAACCATGGCCAGGAGAATTCCAAACCAGATTGGTCATTCCAAAGCCCAGGTTCTAGCCCCACCCAGCAGCCTTGCTACCTTCAAACATCAGAAGCCAGAGTGCTGCTGCTGTCCCACTTAGTGACTCGAGGGAGATTTGGGGCAAGCTGAGAGGCAGGAGAGAATGTTCCCAAGAATCCCAAGTGAGACCAAGGCTTAAATAAACCCACATAGAAAAGTCAGAATTAGCCCTTCAGGGACTTGATAATTATTCAACTAGTTCCTTCAGAACAATCTTATAAAGATCACCAATCCACATTACAGAGAAGTAGAGCAAGATTTTAAGAGGTCCAGTGGCTGATACATTCAGGAGTACATGAGGAACAGCAGCTACCTCTAAGTCCCATGATCCTTTTGTGCATATTCTTCTGTTGGGCACATAAATGATTCTACCACCAGGTGATTCCGTAACCCTGAGGAAGTAAGGGCCCCCTCCCGGACCTTGGTTTCTTCAGCTGGAAAACAGGGAACCCCCAAGCTCCTGTCAGCCCTGGCGTTGTAAGGGGCTCAAACAGAAATTCCTTGAGGCAGAGCCTGGGCATGAAGAAACGTGTCGTATGCCCACCAGATGCTACACACCTCACACACACTTGACATGTTGTTTACTCCTCAATAACTCTATAGCAGTGAGGGTGTTGGTTGTATGCAGTCAAGTCAATACCAATTCATAGTGACCCTGTATGGGGTTTTACAGAAATCCTGGTATGGTGCTGTAAGATAAGCATTAGACTGCAAGTTTGGTTTGAACCAAAAACCGGCCACTCCTCAGAAACCCTATACATGGTTGCTATGAGTCAGAATTGACTCGATGGCACTGAACAACAACAATATAGGGTTTCCAAGGCTGCAAATCTTTATGGGAGCAGAAAGCTTCATCTTTCTCCCATAGAGGGTCTGGTGGACTTGAACTGTTAACCTCAGAGTTAGCAGCATAGCAAGTAACCCACTATGCCACCAGGGCTCCTAACAAACCTATAAGACACATCATATTTTATCATCCCCATTTTACAGATGAGGCTGGAAAAGGCCAAATGACTTGCCCAACGTCAATACAAAAGGCTGGTGTCAAGGAAACTCTATACAAAGCCTGGTGTCAAAGAAACTCCATACAGCTCTTCTCCTCAATTATTGGGCAGTTGGGTGGTGGGGCACCTGGCCATCTCCTTCTTCCCAGCAGCACTGCACAGCTATCTAACATGTGACTTCAGGCCTAAGAGAATTCTGCAGCTTCACTCTAGGGATGGGAGGACAGGAGGGACCCCTGCTTCTTGTCCACAGATGAAGAAACAGGCACCCTCACTGTTTTGGAAATGTTCTTTGAATTACACTGTGCTGAACCCTGAGATGGGTAAACACACATGAGCTGATGGTCTAGTGGGGGAGAGCCTGGGCCATAGGAGTTCAGGAGAAGTAAGAGCAGAGATGGAGGAAGTGAGGGGTCCTAGAGCCGCAGGGAGGGTCCGCAGGCCAGACAGGGAGGTCAAGCCCGGCCTGGCCTAGGGCAGCCTCCCTCTCCCAGGAAGCCACCAGTTGTGGTGCAAAGAGCACAGGGTGTCAGGAGATTTGAGTCCCAGACCCAGTGTGGTCACAGGGCAGCAGGTGATGTGACCTTGGACAACTCCTAGACCCTCTCTGCTTCAGTTGCCCCTTGTGTAATTTTTCAGGTAGGGAAACAATGTGCCTGGGTAGCCATGGTCCTTGGGGGTTCCCCATTGTTTCCCTTACCCCATCTCTTCTTCCAGAAGAGACCCTTGCAAGAGAGGGGCTCACCCTCCTAGAACCCCCAGTGAAAGCTACCTCACAGTTCTGGCAAAGGCCTAGGGAGGGGGGGCTTCTTCATCGAGAGCCGCTACTTCTGCCCTCGGCTCCCACTCTCCAGAACCCGAGGCCCGCCCCTCCCACCACCCTCATCTTCCATTCTCCGCTCACAGCCTGGTGGTCTCCTCTAAGACAAAGACCAGGCCCCCTACTTTTCCCGCTTCTCCTATTCTTTGTCCAGATCCCTCCCCAGGCTTAGATCTTGGCCCCTGTCTCTAGCCCCCAGGTTCCTAGCCAAAGAGTGCCTGTCCCTACTCAAGGCCCAAGCCCCTGCTCCTACCCAGCAGGCCCAAAGAGCCCTGGCCCCGCCCCGACCGACTCTTACCGCGCTGCAGCGGTAGTGTCCCTGGCGCGGGCCCTGGAGCTCCGCAGCAGACGCTGCGCCGCCGCAGAGATGCTGTACAACCGCGAAGCCATGTTGGAGCGATGCAGGTTGGAGGAGACCCCGCCCCCGGAGCCGGTAGTGGAGGCGGGCAACAACAAGCTCCGCCCCACCGGAGCTCCTTCGCCCTTTGCAACAACCAGGTGGGCGTTCCCCCTCCCCGCCTCCTGTGCTGTGCCCGCCATGCTTCGCTCCCTGGCTGATGCTGGACGGAAAGTCCTGGTTCTTGACCTCCTATCTTCCGATGCATTGCCATCAACTCGTACTGTGAGCTTTATTGAGCAAGCCCTTTGCCCACTTTGGATCTCAGTGTTCACCTTGGTGAAATGGGCGCATTGAGTAGTACTGTTATTGTTAAAGTGTCGGTGAGTCTGTTCTGACTCTTAGCGACCCTGTATAGGGTTTCCGAGGAGCGACTGTTGGTTTTGAGACGACTACCTTGTGGTCAACAGTCTAGTACTTATCCTACAGCGCCACACCTAGGTAATACTGTTGTTGTTAAGTGCCAAGGAGTCGGTTACGACTGAACCGCCACCTTTCGGTTCAAATCGACCTTGCAGTCCAGTGCTTATGCTACAGCATCACACCAGGTTTCCAGGATGATACTTGTTGTTGTTGTCAGGTGCCATCGAGTCGGAACCGACTCTAGCAACCCCATGCACAGCAGATGATACTAGGAGTTCTTAATCAGGCTTTGGGGAATGATCTGAAAAGGGTGAATAACCACCTCCATACATTCTATTGTGATCATAACGATCCAGTAGGACAGAGTAGAATTCTACACTCCATCGGGTTTACGAGACTAAATCCTTTAGAGAGAAACTGGTGGATTCCCACTACTTAATCACTGCATCACTAGGGCTCCAAGTTGTTGTTAAGTGCCACTGAGTCGATTCCAACTCATAGCCACCCTGTATAGGATTTCCAAGGAGTGGCTGGTGAGTTTGAACCACCAACCTTGTGATTCAAAGGATTAATATGAAATAAACCAAACTCACTGCCAAGGAGTGATTCCTACTCCTAGCAACCCTGTAGGACAGAGTAGAACTGCACCGGAAGGTTGATTTCCAAGGCTGTAAAATCTTCATTGAATAGACAACCTTATCTTTCTTCTGCAGAGTGATGGGTGGGTTTGAACTGCAGACCTGAATGTTAGCAAGCAGCCCAATACTTAATCCAAAATTGTATACAAGCTGTGTGTGCCTGTGTGGTTTTCTAGGAAGGGGTCCACAGGCAGTACTTATCAAATGAGCAAATCCCTTAACACATTAAGAAAGACATTTTCTTTCCCCATTCCCTTTTCTTGTTACAACCCCAAAGTCATCTGACCTGGATCTCTTGGGACCACGTGCCTTTCTACAATGAGAATTGGTTCTATACAGAAGCTACTTCCACAGTATGTTACTTGTACCTTTGGGATGGTGCTATGGTAGGCTCCATGACCAAGATCCACAGAGGGCCGGCAGAGAAACAGCATCATGCCAGCCACTTCAGCTGAGGTTCCAACCATGGGCCCTCCAAATTCGCCAAGCCCTTGTTTGTTGTTGTGCTGTCGAGTTGGTTCCAACTCATAGCGACCCTGTATAGGTTTTCTAAGGAGATAGTGGGCTTGAATTGTCAACCTTGTGATTCACAGTCCAGTGCTGATCCTACAATGTCATACCACCAAGAGAACTCCGAGCCTTGCTGTTGAGTCGATTCCGACCCATATCGACCCTGTATAAGGTTTCCAAGGAGCAGCTGGTGAGCTTGAACCTCCAACCTTGTACTTCAAACAGCTTTGCAGTCTGGCACATTAATCCACAGCACCACACCAGGACTCCAAGTCCTAGAAGGGCTCAAAATGGTGGAGAAGAACCAAGATAGCAGTCTCAAACTGACACCTTAGTAGTGACAGAGAGATCTGGACATAATCACCTTACAGGTGGCAACTGCCAACAAGAAAACAGAACAAATGATACTAGTTTAATAAATTGCCTCATTCATAAAAAGAAAGAAACTATAGATCATAATGATAAATAGAGAAACAGTCAATTATCATAAATAGGTCAAGCCAGTAAAATAAACACAATGAAAATACAATTACTGAAGCTCTGGACTGGGGCTTGCTCTGAGCCAGTAGAGGGGGATAGAGACATGACTGCTTGGACTTACCCATGGGGCTTATCAGGGGGATGAATAGGGAGGGGCCTCCTCCTTCTGGAAGTTAGCATCATTTCCACAAGGTTCCCACTCCACTACCACTCAGGAACAGCCCTGATGGGTAGATGGTGTCATAGGAAATGGTATAACCACTGTTGTCACCAGATGGAAGCTGTTCCTTCCTTTTGTGCCACCCCCGAAATCTGTATCAGCTTGGCTGGGCTATGAGTCTCAGTGGTTTAGCAGTTAAGTGATGATCCCCCATAGTGTAATTTGATGTGATAAACCAATAAAAGGATTAAGGGTTCCACTGTAGGATGAGCACTGGACTACTAACCATAATGTTGGTAGTTCAAACCCACTAGCTACTCCTCAGAAACTCTATTCAGGGACAATTAACAACAAAATCCTTAATCCCATCAAGACCCTGATCTACAGTAGGGAGGATTTCCAGGGTTGTGGCATGTAATACATTTTCTCTCACAAGAGATAAAAGGAGAAATAACCAGAGAAGTAGGGGCCTATTACCACCAAGAAAGAAGAGCCAGAACTTCTGACAAGATAATGAACTAAGCAGACACACTATATGAACCATCTACAACAAAGATGTTGTTGTTAAGTGCGGTCGAGTTGGTTCTAACTCATAGTGACCCTGTATAGGGTTTCTGAGGAATGACTGGTGAGTTTGAACCACCAACTTTGTGGTTCAAACTGACCTTGTGGTCTAGTGCTTAACCTACAATGCCACAATAGGACTTCACAACAAAGTTCTAAGAGACCAAATGAAATAGACGTGGATAAAAATGCAGGAACCCTGAATTTCAGAGGAAAGATTAAAGAAGTAGATTGAGAACTTGCTGGGAGAATCTGAGCAGGGATAGCCAGAGAGGGAGACTGACTGGTGAATGGCTGGCCATATGCTGAACAACCATCTTGAACTTTTGTGAGCAACTTTGGTGACAGAAGATAGCCTGGCAGAGCAAATTCACACGGATGACGGGAAAGGTGTAATTTCTTCATTTCCCACACACTCCCCTGATGATCAGAAGTATTGCCAGTTTCCACACTCATCCACCTCCAGCTCAAACTCTGTTCTCCAAGAGCTCAGAGCCATATGATTGAGAGCTAAGCCAGTGTGAGGTGGGCCGGCTGCACTGCTTTGGTGCCTAGATTCAGGCAGGCTCAGCTCCAGACCTAGAGAGCCTGCAGAGCTACCAGACCAGAATTTAACCAGTCACCTTGCCTCCAGCTACTCTGTGGTCCTAACAGACACTGAAATCAAAGATCCCCATGAACTTCTAGATTGAGTGCCCTAAACATACGTAACAGCAGGAACTCCATCTAGGGCCAGGAATTCTGCTGTCCTCACATTGCTCTCATGCTCACTTCATGAGTTCTTGGTTTGCAGGAGCCCCCCTCAGAGTTTTCTCCCCTCCATGTCCAACACTTGTAATGCTTTTTTTTTTTTTTTTTGCTTTGTTTTTTCCTTTTGTTTGTTTAATCCTTTCTTCTCCTTTTCTTATCTTTCTATGCCCTTGAGTGTTATCCTTCCTACCTCCTGTTTTTGTGTTTTCTTGTTTTTCAATTCCCCTCTTGTTTTTTTAACCCTTTTGATCTTTCTTTACTACACTCTTTCTCTTTTCATTTTTTTTCTCTGTGGTTTTTCTGGGGGTTTTTTTTGTTGTTGTTCCTTCTTCCTTTTATTTTCTCATCTATTTTTCTCTTCTTCAGTTCAATTTTCCTATCTCTCCTTTTTCTTTCTACTTATTAGATATATTTTTCTGTCTGCTGCATATTTTTTAATTGCTTTTTTCACCTTTACTACAATAGACACAGCTTAAACATAAAGACAGAAATAGACTAAAAATCAAAGGATGGAAAAAATATTCAAACTAATGGCAATAAAAAATGAGCTGGAGTGGCCTGTTTAATCTTGATAAAATAGACTTTTAGGCAAAAGCCAGCATAAGAGACAAAGAAGGACATTATATCGTGATTAAGGGGTCAATGGAACAAGAGAACATAATCATAATAAACATCTATGCCCCCAATGAAAGAGCCTCAAAAACATAAATCAAACTCTAATAGAACTGAAGAAAGAAATAGACAACTCTACAATAATAGGAGATTCTAATATACCACTTTTGAAGGACAGAACAACTAGAAATCAACTCAACAATGACACAGAACTGAACAATACAGAGCACTCAACCCAACAACAGCACATGTTCCAGTGCACATAAGATATTCTTCAGAATAGACTATGTATTAGACCCAAAAAGTAATCCTTAATAATGTTTTAAAACATTAAAACTACAAAGCATGTTCTCAGATCACAATATTATAAAAATAGAAATCAACAAGAGGAAGATCAAGGGGAAAAAAATAATCAAATACATGGAAATTAAACAACACCCTGCTTAAAAGCTATTGGGAAATAGATCAAATTAAAAAATGATATTAAAAATTTCCTTGACTCAAATAAGAATGAAAACACAACTTTTAAAATTTTGGGACACAATAAAAACAGTCCTCAGTGGGTAACTTATAGCAATAAACGTTCCCATCCAAAAAGAAGTAACCAAAATCAGCACCTTAACCCAACATCTCCAACAATTAGAAAAAGGACAACAAAGTAAGCTACTGACCTCAGACAAAAAGGCATAATAAACATTATAGCAGAAATAAATCAAATAGTAAACATAAAAACAGAAAGATTCAACAAGACAAGATGTTGGTTCTTTGAAAGAATTAATAACATCAACAAAAATTGGCAAATCTAACAAAAGAAGTTGTTGTTGTTGTTGTTAAGTGCCGTCGAGTCGGTTCCGACCCATAGCGACCCTGTACAGGGTTTCCGATGGTGTAAATCCTTACGGGAGTAGAAAGCCTCATCTTTCTCCCGCGGAGC